TAATTTAAAATTATTAGCACGTTTACTATTACTGCAATAATAATCTTGATGAGCTGAAAGATAAAAGTAAATTAAATTTAAAGGATTCACATCCAACAACATAACTAATCTAGACTAAATGTTTTTATTTAAAGAACTTAATCATAAGTAAAGTTAGTTTACAATTTAAAAAAGGAGTTAGTTTGCTGCTACATGACTTACATTTCAGATAGGCAGATTATTTAAAAATAATCATTTTTCTTTAGTTAACATCATATCAAAATAAAATAACAACAAAAAAATTACGGGCACATAAAAATTAAATTAAAAAAAAGTAAAGGACTTATCCTAAAAGCGCGCGTTGCTGGCCACCCCGCATCATCCCTCAGATCACGTTCATCAGATCTCGTTCAAAACGAATTGCCGCTCTTTTTTCCCGATCATGTATTCATCCGCACCAAAGGGTGGCGCTACTATCGTTCGACTCTTCACACCTGTGAAGGAATCCATTCTCAAGTAGGGGTGAAGGAAAAATATTGGAAGGTGTTGAAGGATAGGGGTGTAGGTGAAAATCGGATGGGGTTGTTGATTAAAGTAAAAAAATAGATTAAAATACAGAATGAGATTATTTAAATTAAAACGCGGTGCCCAAAAAAAATTAAGTAAAATTGTGCCCATAAATAACTAAAAAAATAATTTAAACATACCAACATAACATTCCATCCCGGTAAGGAGATCCCGGTTTTTTTCCGATTATTACTTATTTGAACTAAACCTAAACATAAAATGATTCAATGGAATATCATGAAGGTATGAATTTGAGAATCGAGTTTTTAAAAGGCTTAAAAGTTACAGGGGTATCTTTGGTTCCTTGAACCAATCAACACAGTTCAACATACTTCAAAGTTTCTCAATAGACTTTCTGCAGTAAGTCCAATTAGAGGAAAGATTTCGTTGTTACCCGTGATGTGTATTCTTCTTGTGTGTGTGTTAGAAGTTTCCTTCAGAAGCCTCCCATCTGTATACTCTATCTTTTACCACATTCCATGTCTTAGCTAGCTGATCACATGTCACTTTTTGATACTTGTACTCTCACTTCAATAGTACTCTCACTTGGATAGAACTCTCACTCATGACTGTCACTTTTCGACACGATAGAACTTAGCAGAAAATCATCCACCGACCAGGAACGGCAAAGGGCCCTTTTGCTGCCGCAGGCAGTAACGTTTCTTGCGTAGTAACCATCGTTGCTTATGGAGACTCACGTGACTTTAGTTCTGTTTTTCTGATGTGACATTTTGTACTTCCAAACACACACTTTGAACACAGTGAAATGTCTAACAGGTACATATTGTTAAATTCGCTTGACAGTCTGTTTAGTTTAAACGTCTTAGCAGGTAATTATAAATCCATAGTTGCACTTCCTACGAATGTTATGTTGGCATGTTTAAATTATTTTTGTTAGTTATTTATGGGCACAATTTTATTTAATTTTTTTGGACACCGCGTTTTAATTTAAATAATCAAATTCTGTATTTTAATCTATTTTTTTTACTTTAATCAACAACCCCATCCGATTTTCACCTACACCCCTATCCTTCAACACCTTCCAATATTTTTCCTTCACCCCTACTTGAGAATGGATTGCTTCACAGGTGTGAAGAGTCGAACGATAGTAGCGCCACCCTTTGGTGCGGATGAATACATGATCGGGAAAAAAGAGCGGCAATTCGTTTTGAACGTGATCTGAGGGATGATGCGGGGTGACCGGCCACGCGCGCTTTTAGGATAAGTCCTTTACTTTTTTTTAATTTAATTTTTATGTGCCCGTAATTTTTTTGTTGTTATTTTATTTTGATATGATGTTAACTAAAGAAAAATGATTATTTTTAAATAATCTGCCTATCTGAAATGTAAGTCATGTAGCAGTAAACTAACTCCTTTTTTAAATTGTAAACTAACTTTACTTATGATTAAGTTCTTTAAATAAAAACATTTAGTCTAGATTAGTTATGTTGTTGGATGTGAATCCTTTAAATTTAATTTACTTTTATCTTTCAGCTCATCAAGATTATTATTGTAGTAATAGTAAACGTGCTAGTAATTTTAAATTAGCTTAAATTACTTCTACTTGTTATATCTGGTAAATTATGCTAGTTAAAGTTAAAAATTCTCACAACGCAATATCTTAGAAAATCATTTTTGATTCCTTAAATAAATTTTTTTTTTCTATTCAAAAATAAGATA